AAGGCTTCAGCATCTCACGTGGAACTCATAAATATCCCCCTAAGGTCTGGCCAAATGTTATTCTGTTCAGCCAAACCTCATTTTCTGGGAATAAACAAGGTCCTGAAAAAAAGCAAGCTGCATTTTTATCATTCTTTTGGAGTTTTCTTTTTCTCTTAGGCCAAACCTGAACTATGAAAATATCAAGTGCTTATTTCCCACTGCAGACTCTTCCTCTGCAGGCTGAAAATGTAATGTTTTTTATGTGATTTCATCTTGTAACTCAAAAAGATACTTGCTGCTTGCAGGCAGATCTAATGAACATCCCATGCTTATGTTCTTCCTCCAGATTTTTACATGTAAACCATGTTCTCCCTGGCTCCTACTCCCACAGAGAATAGCAATATTCCTTAAACCGCATCCCAATACCTCCCAGATTTCTGGAACATGTGTGTCCCATTTCAGTTCTAGGTTTAGTGCACCTGAAACTGAGTCAAGTTTATTTATTGTTGACTGAGCAAGATGGGGACACCCACTAAACTGAATGTCATTTCTTCCTCTGTAATCTGATAATCCCGAAGGGTCATACAATTCAATCCTGGAGACTCAGGGAGTGTTCTAGGTCTTAGATGGTCAAAACTACTTCAGTTTTGGCAAGATGTTCAGGTTAAGCAAATTCTGTTTCCCCAAGTGATAAAAAATCTACCTGTTAACAGAGACAGATACAAGTACCCACTGAAATGGTTGTGCAGGTCCTTGCACTGAGTTAATACTATGAGAAATGGGAAATTCAAAACTTTGCTATGGTTGTCTGCCAGTGCCCTTGCAGCTCTGCACCTTCTGTACATTGCTCCATCAGAAGTATATTAAAAGCTACCCTGAAATTCAGGTTCTTGTGAATAAAAAAAAAGAGATAGCAGAGTATAATCCCATGAGAATATCTTGGACTAAATTGCTCTGTCAAGCTTACTTCTCTGTGTTAAAGCCTTCTTTGTAGAGTTTATTTGTGTCATGGGAGTTGCTTTGCTGCTCATGTGGAGTTCACACTGAAGGATCTGCTAAGGGCTGATGCCATGGCCTAGTTAAGAAGAAGACTCACAATTGTTGTAGAATTACAATGTTCTACACTCATTCTGGAAACCGAATATAAGCTTTTTTTTTACTGTAGATGTTGTCTCATCCACAATGTGGGCAGCAGGATGCAAAATCCTGCAGTGTAGCAGCATTCTCCTGCTCAGGTTCCTCAGTTGCTTAGCCAGCACTCTCATTAGACAAAGGAGTCCTTGATCCAGGGAATTTGGTTGCTTCATCTTTAGACTTAAATCCTCCTCTATCCCTGCAGCATCACAGGTAATAGTGCCAAGCTGTTAAACAATGACACAGCAACACCTCAGCTCTATGACTTCTTTTATTTTCCAGATCTTGTTACCTACTTGATGTTCAGGTCTTCTCCTCACCAACCTCCCTCTGTCAAATATGAAGCGCGAGTTATCACTAACCAATTCACTCATCAGAGAAGACCTGCAATGTGCCAGAAATGTGCCAATTTCTTCAATCAAGAAATGGTGAGATGTCAAAATACCTGAGGAAACACCTCAGCCTTGATTTCTGATCTTTCTTTGATGAGTTCTTTTGCCACCTACCTGGTGGGCAATTAGGGAGGACCATGTCTGCAGACAAATGACCCCCAAAGTCTGATTCATCAGACAGGTGGCACAGAAACATGGTCACATCTATGGCACCACTGGCTGAGAACTGCATAACATCGGCTAAAGGCTTCTTGAGCAACATCACTCATGTACTTTTCATAGTAACAATGAAAAATGTCCCCAAAAATGTTTCAAGTGGAGAAACAAAGTTGTGTCAGCTAGTCCTGTAGCTCAACAGCAAGAGAAAGCTTTCTGCTCAATTACCTGAAGGGTCACCTATTGAGGGTCAAGAAAATCCTAAATGCAAGGCAGTAAATAGAACACAGGAAAACTTCTTGGTTTTCGTGTTTCTGATCCTCTTGCAAAGGCAGAACCTGATCTCCTGATGCCTTTTGATCCTGCCCTGGAGTCCTCCACTCACCAGCCACACCAGTGCTCTTGCTGGGCAAAATAGGACCTCCTTTAAGAACATGATTTCAGCAGGGCTCCCGGACCCCTTGTTGTTACACAGTGCATATAACTTAACAGGTGGGAGACTTAAAATGTCTTATCTGTGAGTGACAGCAGGCAAAATATGAGAGAGGCAGGCAGAGATGGAGGGAGTAAAGAAATCACCGTGCTGTGTATTGACAGGGCTCTGTGTGCGTGCTATGAAAGTGCTAACCTTGCACATTTCTCTGTTTGGCTCAGTACCCATGAGGAGGTGAAGGCTGGGTTATTACCAGAGGCAATTGCATAACCATGCCACGTATTTTCTGCTTCACTAGAAGTGACTAGCTCTAGGCCCCACTGGTTCCACTTTTTGTCTCTCCTGTCAAGGCAACATGTGTCTGCACTCACTCAGTGACCTGGGGTCTGTGCCATGATAAAGCTCATGTGACAAGTCCTGTGCACTGAGTGCGGGATGCACAGCTGGCTCTATCCTCACTGCTTAAGCAAGTTCTTGTCCTGTTCCCTTATGTACAGAGCAGGGTATCCCAAAACAGGAGGGAAGTGCAGTGGTATAATGCAGCCAAAGCAGGCTCTGTAGCAGGACACTGTGTACAAAGGGGTCCTGATAAATGGCATGACCTCCATCTGCATCACAGCATTACGACTCATACCCCTTTCCCTGACCTGAAAAGCCAAACACGACCAGCCATTCTCTGCTTTCCTGTAGCATCCTTTATCTCAAAAACCCAGACAAACACTATCAGCTGAATCCCAGCTTCCCCCTGCATGGGGGGAAGATCCGTGTCTTCAAGCATCAAATGACGTTTGGCTTAGCTGTGACATAGAGAAGGGCCTGGACTTATCCGATGTTACCCAGCAAGGCAGTAACTGAGCTAAGTGTAAAGCCCTTCCCTCCCGCTTCAGATGAGCCAGCAGGTTCTGTGCCGAAGGCCCCAACAGTGCCAGGCCAGCTCCCCTCCCAGCATGGCTGGAGGAGCGAGCCTCCCTGCACAGCCACCACAACAAGCTGGTGTTGGAAGTACAGCGTGGTCCATCCAGCAGACGACACGGACACAGACTTCTGCTGCCTTCTTCTAGAAAAGCCGTTCAGAGGGCAGTGACTTGGGGTTTCACTTTTCTGTAGCTAAAATGAACATCAAATCTAGATAAAAACAATCTTTGAAACACCCAGGCCATGTAAGTACTGTCTTTTTCCCTACTGGTGCTCTCACTCATGGCCTCAAGCCATGAAGCTTGGGTAGTCTCTGGGGATGGCTATACCATGGCAACTCTGTGCACCTCTTTAGTTGCTTCATCACCCTCTGGGGGAAGCATTTTTTCCTTCTGTCTGCTTGGCATTGCTCTGTATGCCACTGTGCCCCTCCGAAGAGCCTGGCTCCAGCTTCGTTCCACCTGCCTTGAATATCAACAGCTGAAGTACCTTCACGAGATGCCTGTATTAATGTGAGGGGAGAGGGAGTCCAGGCAATAAAATCACAGCTAAAGCTAAACACAAAGTCTAAATGCATTACAAAATGTGTTTTTATATGGTAAAGTTGTATCTGAAGAGTCATATGACTCAAAAAGAGTATAGTTAATTGTGTCAAGTGCTGTTTTCAGATACATTTGTAAATGTTTTGGCTTTTTCTCTCCCGTTCCTTGGCAACAGTCTGAGTAATACAAATGTATAAATTAAAATAGGTTTTAGTTTTTATTACACCAGGAATTATCTTAATTTCTCTGTAATATCCAATATCCAATGTATCTGTGAACATACGAACAGCCAGTTTATTTTGTATGCATTTTAAAATTATTAGGTAACATTCACCCATTACTTTTAGTAGATTTAACAGTAGGATTCTAACAACCGATCATCTTCTGTGTGTACCATTCATTTTAAGTTTCAGACAGACACACTACAGATTTCTCATGCTGGAAGCTTAACAGCCTCGGCTGCAGCATTTTTTGCAACATACAGCATACGTTTCTTTTAAGGCAAGACAAAGTTTATATGTTTATATGAAGTTTATGTGATTAAGTTTAAGAACTTAAGAACCTTAAACTTAAACTTCACAAACTTATATATGTCTGTTATAATATAGCTGGGAAAGCTGAATATACCCTACTTTGTATAGGGCTTACCCTACAGATGGCTAGCCTTGCATCAGATATAGCTATAGGACTATTTATAAATTCCAGCTACCAATTTAGCTTGCAATTTAATCTCTGAAGTGCATTAAAATAAGGGCAATTCATTGATGCCTTTGCCATGCCTCAATTTACTCATTTGTTCACATGACACCCCAGCAATATGTTATATTTGGCAGCTCAGCTCTTTGTGACTGGGAAAGACAGTTAATCTGCCACCAGGTTCTTTGTCTCTGGTTAAGATCTTCAACAGGCTACTAAAGTGGATAATCTGTATTTACTCTGCTATTTTTAGTTTAATTTGAAGTTTACATTTTGTTGAGTATCTTTCTTTATCTGCATGTTGCAAGTTGCAAAACATTCATATTGTCTGAGGTTTTGTGATAGATGACCTTCTCTTCACTATGGCCTGTGAAATATTCTGTCACCCTACTTATCTGTCTGCGTGTTGCTGCTACTCCTATTGATTTATACAAATACTTTTTCTCGTAATGCTTTTTTGTCATTTGAAATAAATTGCACTGAAATTCTTTGCTTTAGATACACCGGCTAGGAAAACTAATATAATTACTTAGGTTTCCTTTAGAATAAAAATACTGATTTCATTTTTTTCAGCCTTTAGCTGAGCACCTAACGTGTTAGCCAGAGTTGTAAATCTCAGTTTTACAGTAATTGTTTTCTCACCAGTCTCCATGCAAAGCTGATGTAGGTACTGAAAAGAGATGTTCTTTTTCCTACAGCATCTAGTTTCTACTAGGGGTTCTTGTGTGAAAGTCCAAAGACCACCTTAGGCACAATACCACTGTTACAAAGAACTGTTTCCTCAGCTTTTTTCTTTTAACACATGCCTCTTACTGGAAGTCAAAGGTTGAAGTTAAATTTATTGTTTTGGTTTGGCTTTAAGAGCTGAACATTGTGTTACAGTCCTTGAAAAGGCAGAACAGGGACATAGTAAGTAACAGGTGTCTTTCTTGAGATTATTTACCTTTGGTGACAATGGTTTCAAAATTGCTTAAGATTGCAGACAAGGATTCCTGTAGACAAAAGTGTTGGGATAGTATTAAGGGTATTACAACCACCACAGACACCTTTTCTTCCTGCAGTTGCAGAGGCTGGTGAGCCACTGTTACTGGACAATTGGTTGTCATCTACAAGCGCGAACTGTAGAAACTGAAAAGAAGTCAGAGGAAAATAGGCCAGATTTGGGTAAGGTAATTAATATTGCACACTGAATATTTTATTTTCATGGGAAAATACGTTTTCTATAGCGGTCCTAACCTTGGAGGTATAGGACACTTGACATTTTTCTATCACTTTTGCTAGGCAATGCAGAGAAGACTGTAAGGCTTATAGGAAATTTCAGAATAAGGTTTGGTGTGACTGGAATTTATCAATATTTATGGTGGCCTGTATTAGCTTATTAATTGCACTTTTTGTGCCCGTCAGTGCAGCTCAAAATAGTAAAATTTAAAGTGCTGGTGGAAAGGAACCTGTGAAGGGAATACTGTGGAGAATTAAATGCTCCAGAAAATAATAAAATAAAATAAAATAGTCATAATGGTGCAGCCAAAGTAGAAGTGCTTCCATGGCTTCCATTTCTTATTGACCTGGTGTCTTGCTCCATTTCAACATGATAGTACCTGGAAAGGAAATCCGATGCGTCAGCATATACGACTTACCAATCACTGTAACCTTTCTGAGGTTTATCTACAAGTAAGGTAATTTCTCAAGTGTTCCTTGGAGCAAAATAAAGTTTTAGAGTAATTTCATGGTTTCACAGTTTCAATTTAGAATTGGAAATAAAGAAGTTTCAAAAATCTTCTGTGAAATAGCTGAAAGATATGCTGCCTTTAAAAGTGAGAGTAAATGTATGTAACCATTCACTTTCAAGGAAGATGAATCAAAATTAATTGTTGTCTTTTACTATAGAAATCCACTATGCTTGGAGGGTTATAAGAAATTTGATATAGGCATTTTGGCTATATCAACCATTTATTGTGATGTGGCTTAATTGGAATTCTTTGTGATTAACAGATACGATGTTTCACTTAGGTTTTGTAGCAGCTTAATATGATTAAGCTTAAAGGACTAGTCCCTGAAGATAGTAGATAAACACAGATTGCCTGTTAATCTGTCAGGTACACACTGACCTCAGACACATATGAAGTATTATCATAAGAGGAAATCTCTTTCCTGTGGTTAAAATCATGACTGTTAATTCACCGAAGCCATCACCGTGTATGGCAAAGATGTTGCATGCCCTTTTCAGCACTGCTACATTTTATTAGTCCAGCTAGTCTTGTTGGAAGAAGTAGCCAGTTTTTCAGACACACAATCCCTCCTTCAGGTCTGAAAAAGCACCCAGAAGCTTTCAAACTAAGTACAAGTTCAGACCAATTGTTCTGAGCTTTGTGAGGGAGGAACCAGCTGAAGCACCAGCTGACTGCCCAAACTAAAGGGCAGTTAGTGCTTGTGGTGCAAAGTGGACATGAGTGAGTTAGAGAGCTAAGTGGTTCCTGGGGGATGGAGAAGCAGGTATTTTACACCCCATGGATGGTAAATAGCTTAGGGGAAGGAAGTAGATGATAGTGAATAGGATCTCCACAGAATCACTGGTTTTGGCGACCCTGTAGATCTATTATTTCAGTTTTCCATGCTCATCCTTAAAATGTATTTTTCATGTGTCCATTCGGGTTACTTTTTGGTTTCAGTTTACAGCAGCCTGAATGACAACAGGCAACTTGGGATGAGTTGCCCAGGGCACCATTGCTTTGAAAACTGCTATTTTCCATGAGTTATTTAGGGGAGAAGTCGAAGATGGGAGTGAGAGGATAGACGATAGGAGGCACTTCTGGAGAAAGGTCTGTTTATTACTTCATAGTTACACAATCACTTTTTTATCAGTATTTCCATCTCTAACTGATAATCTTCTTAATCTTTTGGTTTGTGTGAATACGTGTTCATTCCTTCCCCATATGACATTGATATAACACTTCCCCCCAGCCGACACTGCCTGCCTCCCGACTGTTTTCGTAACTTCTGTGTTTTATAAATGATGTTAAATTTTATTCCACAAGAGCCTGTGCCTGATTTTCGAACACCATCCTGAAAATTCCTTTTATACCTGGATACCTCTCCTGGGCCTCCGCACTGCTCTTCCTTGTGTTTTTTTCCAGCTACTACATCAGAGTCAAGGCACACTGTATAGTTAACATTCACTCTTAACATTCACCCTTTTTCAAAGCTTACTCCTCAGACAAAGATCATATAGGGCTGCTTGTGCTGTTGTGATCTAATAAGATCCCTTGCACAGAGGAAAGAACCTCATCTATTAATACGGCTTCACAGAGATGGTTTATGTTTAAGCTTTTTTCTCTTCACAAGCATCATGAATCTCTATAGTGTTACTGAGTCCTTTTGCTGCACAGGCACTGGAGGGCATGCTGACAGCCCTACAGCTGCAATTCTGCAGTTTTTGGGGGCTGCTGCAGATCAGCCACCTAGTTAGGGCTCTCAGGGAGTCCTCATAGTTTGGACTGAGTATTTCTGCTCAATGACATGCTGGAATTTAGCAAACTTCTTTTCTCACCAGATTGCACTTCTGGGTAAGATGCTACAAGCAGGTGTTTGCAGAAGACCCAAGTCAAGTGAACAGTGCTGTTTGTGAGTGACTTCTGTTACAAACAAGACTCACAGCAGCACAGATCTGAATCTGGCAAAGGGAAGGAGGAGCCACCTGGAACACCTGAGACATCTGCACTCCTGGTAACACCAAATAAAGGAAGATGATCACCATGCTGGGGAAGCAAGGATGTCTTCCAGCAACATGGTGTAACATTCGTGCATATTCACAGTGGAAGCAGAACTTACTTCCATATCTAGACTAGCACCCCACCCCATTTTGGGTTATATTCCTGACAGATTGCCTAACCCATAGCAACTTTATTAACAACTCTGTCAGCAAACTACTGCAGTATTCTGTTAACATAACATGGTCAGTGTTTCTCTGTGTGTGTTTCATTTTGTTCTGAAAATACTTATAAACCTGGCTTTGGGCTTCAAAAGATCACAGTACCCCATATTAGAGTGCTGTGGTTGGATGATCTACCCAAAGGGAATATTACCTTATGTTGAACACAGTTAATTTCAAAGAATCATAGAAGAGTTTGGGTCAGAAAGGACCTTAAGATCAACCAGTTCTGACCCCTTGCCATAGGAAGGAGTACCCCTTCCACTAGACCAGCTAGCTCCAAGCCCCATCCAATCCGGTCTTAAACACTGCCAGGGATGGGGCAGCCACAACTTCTCTGAGTAATCTGTGCCAGCGCCTCACCACCCTCACAGGGAAGAGCTTCTCCCTAACATCTAATATAAAGCTACCCTACGAGAAGGTAGATTGTGTATTATGCTGCCTTGAGATGAGCAAAGCTCCCCCCAACACTGTGGATTTTGGTGGGTTAAAGGAAGCAGGGTTTGAATCATTCAAAGATTTCTCATATAAGCAGTATCCAATAAATACCCTTCCCCCACTTGGAAAGTCTCTGGGCAAATACTGTCCCTCTGTTCCAGCTCCTCCTTGTTGCTGCCTCTCCCCACTTCCGGATGGGCCCTGGCCCCCAGCCCTTATCTCCTCCAGCCCCTGGGCTGTTTGCAGAAAGCAGTTATAAAAAGGCTGACGGAGCAGAGAGCAGAGCAGAATTACAAGGTGCAGGAAAACAGCAGCACCAGATCAGACAGTGTATCTGCTTGACTCACCACAACCTGCTCTGCACCATGGGGAAGAATGGGCTGCTCAGCAAACCAAACATCTTCCTCCTTCTCCTCTTCTTCTTTCCTGGAAACAGCTCTCCTACCACAGAACCGTAAGCAACACATGTGCAAGGGTTGGGAAGGGTGGTCTTAGTGCAGCTTTTCCCTTCAGTTTTCTTCCTTTCTGTCAAACAGCGGTGCCAGTTTCTTCCATTGCTGCCTGGCATACCACTACCAGCCAAGTCCTGGGCTTCCTAAACAGGGAGCTCTGCCAGTGCTCCCCACTCCCACACTGCAAACCCCTGCTTCTTCAGCCCTGGGACATGTACACCTATCCCCTCCCCAGCTTTGCCAGTGCTCACACTCCTACCCTGTAGCTGCCTGCTAGTCCAGCTCTGGCTCCTCACAGCATCTTTTCCTGAGTATATTCTTGCCTAGAAACCTTTGTGGACATGATGTTAGAATCCATGTACTGACCTTCCCTGCAGTATCCTTATTTCAATCCCTGGGCTGTTTCTCCCTGTTCTCTTGTTGCTTTCAAGCCAGTTTGCTCCCCTTTCTCCTGCTTCTTTCAAGCCAGTTTGTTTCCCTTGGCAGCATCAGATGTACTTGCTCCCAAAAGAGGATGTGTGACCTAGATTCTCCTCTTCCGGCATGGAGCCTGGCACTGGCAGCCTCCCCTGGGTCATCCACCCCAGGGCTCAGCAGACCAGCAGCATGGCTGCAGCGCCTGCTCTGCTCAGGAGAGGGGAAGCCTGGGGAGGCACAGGCTGGCTGGAGTCTGGCCTCCCCATTCAGACTCTCCTACCACAGAGGGTTGCTCTGAAGCCTGTAGTCTGGACAGGAGCAGCCTCCCTCCTCAGACCCTGGCTGCTGTCACATATTGTGCCTCCTGCTGCATTGTGCTGGCAGAAGCGCAGCTCTCACCACCACCGTTGCAGCTCTTGTAATGCTTGCTACAGGGATTTCATGCCCACAAGCATCACTTCAGTAGGGCTAGCAGCTGTAGCAGGAGGTGCAGCACTACTGCTGCTGCTTGCTGTGTGGTCAGAGGTGATGTAGTGACCAACTCAGGCTGAAGGACCTTTCACTCACACTGTACCATCAGCCCCTCACTCATCTGCCCTGTCTGGGTTCTGGAACAGGTCAGCCATCAAAGTCTGCTTTGAGGTCAGGCAGAAGTCTCTGGTGTCCCTACAGTGATCTGATGCAATTAATTAATGATTAATTATTTTATTCATACCTGCCCAAGATCAAAGGGAAAGGGAATGAATTTGCTCAGACCCCTCCTCCTATGAGCAACATGCTGGTCTTTGTCCCTGACCTGAGCCCCATTTTGGGAGGGGAGAAGGAAGAAAGGTGAAAGGAAGAGGTGAGGAAGAGAGGGGTGTAGTTGGGATCCACAGAATGAAGACAGGAGCCCCATAGGGAGGCAGTGGAGTCTGAGCAGTCAATTTCTAGGTAGTATGGGGGTAGTGGTTCTGTTGTAAGTGCCGCAGGGTAGATCAGATGTTGCATACAGTACAGAAGGGGAGCCAGCCTTGAACTGAGACAAAATGAGGCTTCCAACTGAGACTTGCTTACTGTTCTCTGCACAAGTAGGAGTTTGCTTCTTCAAGGAGCAATAGTCGCTGCTATTTCTGTCTCAGATGTGCCTGGCTGCACAGGAGACAGTTAAGTCTCAGACTACATACTAGAAAAACTTATTCACCAAGTTAGGCCAGCACTGGAACAGGTGACACAAGAAAAATGGTGGAAATTCTATCTCTTGAGCCCTTTGCAATGGTCCTGTTCAGGAGACAAGCTGGGCTTGAGACACCCAGAGGTGCCTTGCAAGCAAGAAATTGCATGATTCTATAAGATACTGACAGCAAGATGATCTTTTTTTCTTGCTCCTGGTCTGTGCTGGAAGGATTCAACAGGAGGTATCATTCCTGTGTTCTGGTACGTGGCTGTGCATGCAAGTCATTTTACTATGCAGTGGACATTCCTGGGAATACACTGCATACGGTCAGAAAGGCAGTGTCATGATAGCACTTGAATTGGCATGTATGGATTTGAATTGGTGGAGCTGATGAATTCAATGCCTTCTTTGGCTGGGTGCTTGTTCTAGAAGGTTGCTGAGAGTCAATATACAGACATTAGTCCATCTTCAGCTAGAGTATTACCTTCTCTATATAGACAAACTCATCATTTTTGCCTCAGGCATTTTCTCTGGGTCACCTACTGTTTCTTGATGCTTGATTCTGACAGAGTCACTGCCTCTGTTGTCAGAACAGTTGGTTGCATGTAGGGAGGCTGCCGAGGTCTCTTTTGGCAGCTCAGATGCTTTTTTGTCCTGGAATGTCTATATGTGGACTTTGTGAGCCTAGTTATTTAAAGCTCTCATGTAACTTTAATTCATCTATCTCTTTTCACCAACACATCCCAAAACAGCTAAAGGGAGGTCTATAAACAGCATGGTTAATATCCGTGTTTTCAAATGCAGGGAAGCCTGTGTAGGGAGAAGCTCTGTGCATTGGCCAAAATTTCAGCAGAACAGTGAACAGGAAGAGGAATGAGGCCAAGCTCCCCACAAACTAGGTCACGCTGTCCCTTCGGCAGATGGGGCATTACAGTCAAGTTGCCAGTGCCACTGACAGAGGGTAGGGAAATCAGATTAGGGGAAGCAGTCACAGGGTGAAGATGTGGTGAAAAGGCTGTGGAGGAAGAGGAGCACTAGAGCAGAGAGTCGCAAGCTCTAAGTCACTCCTGGCGTGGCTGAAGCTACCTCATTTCACTGCTTCTGCAACAGCATGACCAGAGTTGCATCTGGCTTCTCACCACACTTTATCCTGTTGCTTGGTGATGAGGGAAACAGAGGTTCTGCCTGGGCCCCAGTGCTTCCACAATAGCATTATGACTTCCCAAAAGCCCAGATCTCAGGCGATAAGGTAGCTCTGGATGGGCATAGCTATGTTTCCCCAGGGCTGGCCACCATCTGGCACTTTAGCTTTCTCCATGGAAAAGTACAAGCAGTCCTGACCACAGGTTTTGCCCCACACTTACAGTGCTTAATATACTCTGCAGACTGAACTTCAATCAGAACCTTCTTCTCTGGGTATCTTGTGTATTCACAGAGAAAAAGGAATACTAGGCCATAAAAATGGTCCATCAGACCAGAGGACTACATTGGCTCTGTATTGTACAATGTCCTGTCTGCATTGGTGGTCAGTTGTAGGTACTGAGGGACCTTGCTGAGAAGCAAGGCAAGTACAGTGGAAATGAGTTTCCCATCTCCTGAAGACTTACAGAGCTCCTATCAAAAGTTCCAGGTTTTTCTGTGTCACAGATTACACCTCTGCTGCTATGTTTTCTAGCCAATTCTGGGCAATTAATTTACCCAGGACATTGCATCAGGAGTAGCTGATCTTCTTGCCCTTATGAGCCTCATACCAAATTTTATGTAACTGGTGCTATAGGGCAGGAAGCATATGCCTTCATTACTGGCAGGTGGGGATTAACAGCTTCTTTTAATGGCCTGAACTTGGCTGGACATGCAGGTAAGGCCCTAATTATCCAACTGGGTAATATCCACTTGGCAACTGCTGGATCCTTTTCATCCTCACGAAGGGAAGGACAGTCGGCTGCTGTCTATTACCTGATGCAGCCTGGGCATAATGCCCTTCTTGGACTCAGGAGCTCAAGAGCCATTGACTGTCTACACCAGAATTGTGTATTTGGATTTTACAGCAACTGGTAGCTTGAAGTTTCTCAGTTTAAATTTGTACATAAACAAAAATGTTTCTGCTCTTTTCTGTAAGACAGCTGCTTAGTATTTTCATGTGGTGGTGTTTACTACCCATGTTGTCATGGGTAATTAACAAACCATATTTTCTTGTGTGCACCTCATGACTTTATATCTTTCTGATGTGACTTTTTCCAAGCTGAAGTCTTAATCTATGCAGTGCCTCCTTTTATGAAAAACATTCCAGATTTCATATTATCACATCCATCTTTTGCTGAATATTTTCTTCTAAATCCATTTTTTAAATGCATGACATGTGTGAGATGTGGAAGTACCTTACAATTACACAATGGCAAAACAGTGCATTCTGGTTTGTCCTCTTTTCCCTTCTGAATGCTTCCCTACAGTCCATTTGTTACTTACCACTAACAGAATTTTGCACGAGTGACAAACAGTACTCATGTCTGAGTGGTAATAGCCCACTTACTGACACATCGTATACACGATACTATATACACTGCTGGGCTAAATTTTTTCATAGAAACAAAAATCATAGAATCATAGAATGGTTTGGGTTGGAAAGGACCTTAAGATCATTCAGTCCCAACCCACCAGCCATGGGCAGGGACGCCTCACACTAGACCATGTTGCCCAAGGCTCTGTCCAGCCTGGCCTTGAACACTGCCAGGGATGGAGCATTTACCACTTCTTTGGGCAACCTGTGCCAGTGCCTCAGTACCCTCACAGTAAAGAACTTCTTCCTTATATCTAACCTGAACTTCCCCTGTTTCAGTTTAAACCCATTACCGCTTCTCCTATTGCTCCAGTACCTGATGAAGAGTCCCTCTCCAGCATCATTACCCTTCAGGTACTGGAAGGCTGCTGTGAGGTCTCCACGCAGCTTCCCTTCTCCAGGCTGAACAGCCCCAATTTTCTCAGCTTGTCTTTCTACAGGAGGTGCTCCAGTCCCCTGATCATCCTTGTGGCCCTCCTCTGGACTTGTTCCAGCAGTTCCATGTCCTTTGTATGTTGAGGACACCAGAACTGCACACAGTGCTGCAAGTGGGGTCTCAAAAGAGCAGAGTAGAGGGACAGGATCAAACCTCATTTGACCTGCTGGTAAAACTTTTTCTTCCTCTATAGATTATTAACTACTGATTATTTTCCCACTGTGAACAGTTTATTTGCCATTTTTGCTGCACAGGCCCACCATATGACAAAAGTTTTCCACAAATCTGTTGGTCAGTTTCCACAAATACAGAAGTTGTCCAGTTCCCCTGGACAATTATGAGAAAATCGTATTTCCCACACCATTTAGAAGTCTACTGAAAAACAGGGGTCCCAACACAGCCTCCAGAAATTTTCACTGGTTTTGTTTCTGATCT